GTTGTAAATACTTGAAGATGATGAGGTTGAGAGAGTAAAAAGGCCATTTTCGAAAAAAAATAAAAAAAAAAATTTAATGGCATTTTCGTAAATAAAATGAACATGTGGGGTGGATAGGACAAAAACAAGATGAGATAAAAGAAGAAGTTAGTTTTGTGTTTGACCATGAGTTTTGAGTCAAATTTGCAAAAAGCCCTAAAATCATCATAGTTTTTTGCGTTTTATTTTTGTTAGTGTTCGTAGATATCTCTCTAACCAGTCAATCGATTATTTTAAAAACTCTGGAGCGAGTTAGAGACTGAGTTGTGGAATATTTTGTTTCTTTCTATTCAAATCAATCGTGGCCTGATCTATCAATCACACGTATCTTATTTACAAAATTATACATTTAGTAAGAGTGTAAAAAAAAACATATATCAAATATAAAAACAACAATGGATGGGATCTTGAGTGCATTTTTGGCCCGACATCATTCACGTAATTAAAGCAATCAGACACCCAAAGGACGAAACAACTTGAAGCCAGCCTTATATACTGTACATATACATTTTCTGTATGTTTAAACATTTTATGGGATATTTTATCCACTCATCTACTGAATAAAGATTGGAATGAAATCATATCTGTACCTCTTTTATCAATATTCGACGACATCCATTTACGATGCTTAACATGATAGAAGAAACCATCTTGAGATCAGTTACAATATTCTTTTTGGGTTAACTCTTTCTATTGTTATGCATTTAAATAGCAAACCCTTGAACTTTTTTGTAATCTAACCACATGCAGTTTCGTAGACAAGCAGTTGTACAAAACTTAGTTCTGTTCATTAATCATATCTTAAACGAACCGACGTAAGAGTTTTGTCGTGATGTATACTTAATACTGATGAAACATTGATCAACACCCCCCCCCCCTCTCCCAAAATAATAAATTGCGTGAGGTTATTTGTTATCACCCGGACATGTCGGTTTTTGTTCAATGACTATCCAATCACTTGACTCTTAGTGGCTCAGTCCAATGGTCCATAGATGATGTTATTCAAATCCAATACAATTATTTAAGTTACTAGTCATTATTAAATAATTGAAAATCAAATAGTATTAGTTTTGGTAAAGAATCTAACATTATTATTAGTTCACATCAAACTTAAAAAGGGGGGGTGGGCATGCGAGGAACCTACCATTGTATACGACCAATACGAAGCTGTGTTCTTTCGAATCTTTTTTCTTAAACAGACTTGTGTCTCCTCGAATTGCCTCCTACGTGGCATCCCATGTACCCTTCAAAATATACTTTTTTATTATATTAACACTGCTTATAAACACTTCATTCGTAGACGTTTACTTGTTTTGTCAGCATTTAATTATTTATATACTAGCTTTCGTTTATATGATAATATAACCCTTGTAAGTAAGAAAAAGTTTCATATTTGACTTTGTTATTATATTCAATAACGTGTCATTATATTTCAAATATTTTTCAACCCTACCAACAAAGTTAAAAATTATTTATAATCCAACCGTAAAGTGAGAGTACGTGTAAACATCATATCTAGTTTTAGAACAAGGGTAATGAAAAGAATACTAGTAGATGTGTTACAGAAGAATTGGTAGTTGAAGGTAAAAACTTAAAAGAATTTTTTTTGGAATAAGAATAAAAGTGTTGTGATACATATATTAGTAACAACAACACATAAGTAACATAAAATTTCATAAATAAAACTCGTCTTGCCAGTAAACTTTATAGTTATTTGGGAAGATAAATGTTTTCGTTGGCATTTGCCCATGGATCACCACCGTACGTTCTGTTCTCTGCCGGGATCCATATCCATCCCAAGCCTGTGAAGTATATGTAGTCTTCCAAAGAAGGTCATCTACCTGACAAAAGATATTTGAAGTATTTCTAAGAGTTTTATTATTTGGAATAAAATTACAAGAAGCAACTAATATTTATTACTATAAGATAAAATACATTTAAATTTAACGGAAGAGTATCAAAATATAGATTTCCAGTCTGAATAATAATGTGTAATGTATCCAAAATAAGGTGTCTCAATTATTCTCTATTTATTAAAAGTGGGCCACTGTGTTAGTCAACTAGGTATTGATTTTAATTTGTAGCAATGGTTACCCCCACAAAATAGTTATAAGCATTACGGAAAGCGATTTGTTTATGAGCATACATTTGAAAAAAAAATAATTTAAAACGAGAATAATAGTTTCGATTACAAGATCAGCTTGAACAAAATTACCCAGACCTGAAATTTTCTATTTAATTTCGCTCAACGCATATCTCCAGCGTGTTCCACTAAATAAAATCCTCTACATTTTTGAATATTGGTTGATGTTCTCAACCTTAGACAACGGCCATGAGGAGGAGCAATTCGTTTTGTTTCCTCGGTTGTCAGAGTCTCCTCACACCATCTCCGGAGTAGCTAGCTGCTGATGAACTTATTAATCTTACAATATATACTATCATTGAAGCACACAATGAATATAGCGGAACCGAGACTAACCAAAACTTACCGAAGAAGATCCGAGCATACAACTCACACTTCCAAACGTGATGAAATAAACATTATCACAAATTATACAGAATAATTCTTCCACTTGTACACGTAGAAATTCTGAATCATGTACACGACATAGTCACACAGTCCATTCATTTATCTTTCGTACCTCAAGATATGGTGTAGTCCCCATGCCAGTAACTATGTAAAACCAAGTTTATGTATATAATATAACACAGTTATATGTAAAAAAAAAAAAAAAAAAAAAAAAAAACAGTTATATGTATTATTTGAAGCATCTATTAAAGTATTAACAGTTAAGGTAATGACGGGTATATAGGCGACGTGGAACAACAACGGACTCTAGAATGGAACAAGACATTGCTGATTCGTTGTCAGGGGACAATGTCGTGTAAGTTCTTACTGACACGTGTCGTTTCTGCATAATTATGTTACATAACTCCTTTTTCCTATTCTTCTTTTCTTCATCCTGCATTATATAACCTAATATTAAAGCAAATCTTTACTGTTAGATCCATTATTAAAAGTATACTGTCATGTCAAATGTATCATAATTCATAAATATATATTGATAAATTATCGAACAGGTGGTTTGATTGGTAAATACCATAGTAACATGCTACAGAATATAGCGTTGATATTAGAAAGCATTATTACATGGGTGCGTTCAAAAAAAGCATTACATGGTTAGTTATAAGCATTTAATTTGATTTATATCAACAATGTTAGAAAGGAATCATCAAAGCAAAAAAAAAATAAAAAATTTGAACAATCCGATTTACCTATTCAAAATGAATACTTTTAAGAAAATTGAAATGGACACTTTAATGTTGTAAGCATATAACACAAACATGCGGATACTCTTCAGTCTTCGTGTTAATTTAAAATTCATTTTTTTCCTCGTAACAAAAAAAAGGTGGTTAATCATATTAAACAATTTAAACCACTTTCAAGTTTCAAGTGAATTTGTCTATTTATTTGTTACCACAAAAATCTACTGAACCAGATAATGAAAATTTGAATTTTCTTCTCGTTCATTCTCTCTATATTCTCGGCAATTTTGTAAACAAATTCTACCAAACAAACACGTTATGTAACGAAATATATTTTATGGTGACAGAGAGAAACACACGAGAGTCATACCGTGCGTATCTTCTATGAAGTTGTTTGCCTTGTGCCCTTGTTGGTGGTGACGAGTATCAAAACCATATCTCGAAATGCTAAGATATTTATTCGTTAGAGAAAAAAGTTCGTTATTCGTTACAAACATTGAGGGATATAAGAGGAAAAGATTAATGTAGTTACTCTTGTTAGATTCATCGTACCGGTTAACTCGAGGACAAGGGTTGGTGTTGAATATGGACGTTATGAGTTAAGCCAATTACCAAATCCAGTATTTGTTAATATTCAACACATGAAAGAAGAAAAAATAATTAAAAAAACAACGCGTCTTTAGTCGGGTGGTCATTCCGTAAATCCCTAAAGGATCCGAATTCGAATTCGCACCACATCAGATTTTCATGCGTGTGACTACCGGAGTTTTCACATTTTTTTTCTCCGGATAATGGTTTACTTTTTTTTTCACCAAGAAAATAATTAAAAATTATTGAAAAGAAACGAGGAAAGCTAGTACGAATAGCGATTATATAAGTCAGCCAGCTAACAATCATAAAGCTCAAAATGCCTTTCGCTCTCAAATGTTTTATGTTTTATCTCAGTATAGATTTTACCTTGATGATTAATATTAATACCAAAAACAAGAAGACTACAGTCATTCCGCAGATTTCAAAATATTTGTCCCAAAAATTGATTGATTTTGATATATGAAAGAGAAAATAATTGAGTTTATAAGCTTGAGTTTTGAACAGTTTGATCGTATTCGTACGTCGTTGTAATATTTTTTTGTTTTCATCTCCTCTGCTATATAAACACTCGTCCAAGTACATAACTCGATGTCTCATCCTTCAAAGCTAATAAGAGTGACACTATAAAATCTGAAACATACATTTGTAGCAATGCCGGTATTGTCTAAACCGGTCGAAGAACCAGAATCCAAGCTTTCTTTAATTCCGGTTATAGATATCTCTGACCCCGAATTCAAACACGCCCTCGTCAAAGCATGTGAAGATTTTGGCTTCTTTAAGGTGATCAACCATGGCGTTTCCTCGGAGCTAGTCTCTATTTTGGAACACGAGGCCGTTGAGTTCTTCTCGTTGCCCTCGTCCCAGAAAACCCAAGTCGCAGGTTATCCCTTGGGATACGGGAACAGAACGATTGGTCGCAATGGTGACGTTGGTTGGGTTGAGTACTTGTTGATGAATGCTAACCTTGATTTCGGTTCACATACATTCCTTCCGGGTCTCTTGCAAAACCCGGAAACTTTCAGGTTTTTTTTCTTTCTTTCTCTTAATGTCATTTGTTTAGTTAACACCTATCGTTATCGTACTATGTTTCTTCCCCTGTTTCATGCTCTGTTTATAGTTCATGTTCCGTCTCTTTCTCTACTTTATGGCTTGTTTTTTTTTTTTAATATTATTTTGTAGTATAAGAACATTTTTCTAAAGGTTCTTATGTATCTCACAAGAAAAATAAGAAAAATGATGAGAAATGGAGATAATAAGCTAGAGCTTTTAGAGAGATTATTTTGAAAACTCATAAGACACTTATTTTTTATAAACTATTATTTTAAAAATTGCTAAATTATAATTTATATACTAATTCTTTTATTTGAGACTTTTAAATATTATTACTGCTGAGTTTTTTAAAAAAGTGGGTTTCTCTTAATATACTAACATTTTAGAATAATTAAATTATATGATTAAAATTTAATGTTCAGAAAAATATACCAACTAAGAAACAACAAGTGGCATGTAGACCTCTCACCATATTGTTTGTTTCTTGAATGATAAACTTTTTTTTCATATTTTCCTATTTCACCATAATTTTAAAAATTTTAGTATTATTTTTTGAGAGTCTTGCTAGAGACAATTAGTGCAGTTGATGTTAAAATCTAAAATATATATATTCCTCAATATGTTTTTTTAGTTAGTAGGATTTTGTGTCCTGGGTCTTTATAATATATCTTCTTATGTAACTATTTTTTCTTACAGTTTCCACTTTCAGAACTCACCACACATGTTTCGTTATGCAGAAACGCATTGCTGGAATACACAACATCAGTGGGGAAGATGACATGCAAAGTTTTGGAGATGATTAGTAATGGGTTAGGGATCAAACCGATGAACACACTTAGCACGCTTGTCTCTGGTGAAAACACTGACTCCATATTCAGGCTTAATCACTATCCACCATGCCCTCTTATCAACAAAAATACTAATGATGCCAACAATGTGATTGGTTTTGGTGAACACACTGATCCTCAAATCTTATCCGTCTTAAGGTCTAACAACACTTCTGGTCTCCAAATCAATCTAACTGACGGCTCTTGGATTCCTGTTCCTTCAGATCCTTCCTCCTTCTTCTTCAACGTCGGTGACTCTCTTCAGGTTCGTCTCAATCATCAACTACATTTTTGCTTAGAGCGTGGAGGTAGTTCAAGATGAATAAACCACTATGAGTTGGTTGATAGTTAAGTATCTTTCTTTGATGTTTTCAACCAATTTTTTTTGTTTCTTTTTCGCTTTGTGTACTTATCTTGCAGGTGTTGACAAATGGGAGGTTCAAGAGCGTGAAGCATAGGGTTTTAGCGAACAGCAGGAAATCTAGGGTTTCTATGATTTACTTCGCTGGACCTTCATTGACTCAGAGGATCGCTCCATTGACTTGTCTTATGAACAATGAAGACGAGGGTTTGTACGAAGAGTTCACTTGGTCTGAGTATAAGAACTCTGCCTACAACTCTAGATTGTCTGATAATAGGCTTCAGCCATTTGAAAAGAAAGCTGTAGCTATAGCTATATCGTTGAATGATTCATAAGTTTTTAATATGTATGTTTTAAGTGAATGTTAATCCAATAACTGAAAATTGTTTTTGTTTCCTACTGTCAAGATCCCATTTATAAAAACTATGCTGACATCCGTTTTCCTAACATTTAATTAGGAGTAAATAAAATATCCATACAAAATTATTTCGGTTTGTTTTATGTATTGCTTTGATCTAGGATATGGATATCATAATTCTACTAATTGGATCAAATAATAATAGCAATATTTGTTTAAATACATATATATATATATATATATATATATATATTTTTTTTTTTTTATTATTATTATTTTTGAAATAACTTATTCACTAAATTAATTTTAGGTACTAATTATTTGTAAATAATATTATAATAATCAACTATTATTATTTTATGCTAAATCTATTTATTTTTAATTTCTTCCCAACGAATCCGATTAAAAATATCAAATTTTCGTAAAACAAATATGAATTACCAAAATATTAATTAAGGAAAAAACAGAGAAGATTATGAATACTTTAAATTCTCAAAAAAAAATTGAAACTTAAAAATTCTCAATATTCATTCTGTCTCCACTCCTATATTTAAGTTTTAACTATTCTAAATATTCGTTATGTGCCACACCTACGGTTTAACTATTGTAAATCATGTGGGATATTTCAAAAAGTTTTTGAGTAAAAAATAAATATAAACAAAACTAAAGAGAGGGACAATTTTCATAAAAGAAACTTTGTCAATGCAGGAATAAACTCACTTATTTGTTGTCAATTTTATCATTGGACAAAAACGCAAGGATACAAAATTTGTCAATTTTATCATTGATTTGGTTTTTCTCTTATTATTTTTTGAAAACTCATGAAATGCTTTTCTTAGTATCTCTTATATAATAAATTAAAGTGGTGTTAGAAAAACAGATTCGTAGGTGAAAATATACTCGATACTAGTCTACATTGTTTGATCGAACACGAAACATGTTACATTTTATGGCCAACAATATTATAACAGTTTTAGTTAAAAAAAACAACATTATAACAGTAAGAAAGATATTGATAAAGACACTACAACCAAAAATCTCAATACTAAGGCGTGGAATGTAGTCCGAGGAGTCGACTTGGGTGCCAAAATGTATAAAGATCTATAGATATCTAGATTTATTATACATGAAATATAGATAACGTCGTCGTTTACTGACAGGTCTTGCCATTCTTTTAAGAGTTAATTGGCCGATACACCCCAAATGGGGGTGTATATTAGTCACTTGCACATGATGGGACATATTTATTTTGTCTGACCAAATTGCCTTTTTTCTCTCTCTCCTTCCTTCCTGCATTTACATGTGGGTGTTTCACTTTTTTTTTTCCATTTTCTTTATCAATGCTCTTCTCTCCTCTTATCATTTTCAAAATGAAATACATGCAAAATAAATATGTTAAATATTTTTGAGTTCACTTTGATTCTTAAATAATAATTGTAAATTTTAAATTTACTCAATGTGATTTGGAAATACAAAATTCAGTGATACATTTTTTTGATGATATCAATTTTCTGGGTTTTAGATTCGACGTCGTGTTAGCGGTTAACAAATATTGTAGACGTTAACAGAAGTGTTAGTTGTTAACAATTATTTTTACGCTTCGTGTTAATAAATATGTTCGATGTTAACAAATATTGTAGACGTTAACAAAAGTGTTAACTGTTAACACTTATTTTTACGCTTCGCGGTAATAAATGTGTTGGCTGTTAACAAATATTGTAGACGTTAACAGAAGTGTTATATGTTAACAAATGTTTTTACGCTTCGTGTTAATGAGAAGAAAGAGAAAGGGTATTCTCGGCATTTCCTTGCCAAATGGTTGTGTCAGTGTCCTTTATGTCCAATCAATGGTAGTTTGCTAATTTAAGCTTCAAATAAGGATAATACACTAAATCACTCTTCTTTTAAAGGAAAGTGACTTGTTTGTCACATTGACATGCAAGGACCAACTTGGATATCACCAACAAGTTGTAGTTTGTTTTCTTAACGTTATTTCCTTTTTACGTTATTAACTAAAAGATTTCTATAAATGACGACTTACCTCAAACATCATAGCCACTTTGATATTTTGTATCGGATATACGACAAAAAATGTTGATAGTTTTTCAAAGCATTCTTCCAAAACATTATTGATTTGGTCGAAGTTAAAAGAAAATAAACTGCTTACACTATTACTTGGATTGGGACTTGGGAGATGGATTATTAATCAGAAAAAAAAAAACATAAAAGAGACTGAACAGAACCGTGTGGCCCATAAACGTCCCTCGTGACAGAAAATGACTTACTATAATATATAGTAGGTACTGATCCGCGACTTGTGAAATGAAATTGTTAGAAAATTAATTAAAGTTTATACTTTTTTATTCATAATTTTCATAGGAAATTATATAGGCAATATGTTATATTTAATCTTTTTTTGTTGGACAAATATATTGTATTTAATTAAGCATAATTTTTTGAACAAACTTAAGTATATATTAGGTTTAAGAATACTTGTATATAGCAATATTTTTGTACCAAACTTTCAACTTGTATAACCCTTTGCACTACTTTGGTCAACGCTCTCCAACTTTGACATTCTCTTATCATTCTTTTACTATCAAAGAAGTAAAACATGTGATCTTCGTTGTGTGTCTACGAAGATCTAAGAGCATCATTATCGAGAATCCCTTATCGTTGTCCAATAACGAAAAAATCTCTTAATTTTTAATTAAAAAAAACGCTAAGAAACATCCGTAAAGCTAAAAAAACTTTTGCCACTAAGGGACCATCGATAATGTTACTCTAACAGAACAACCATAGAGGCTTAATAACGTAGAAATGTTTGAACACAAACCCAACTTTTTCTATTAAATCTAAAAATTACTGTTTTTTTCTTTCTTTTTCTTCTTCCTATAGGAAACAAACATTATATGAATGAAGTGATTTGATAATCATACACATGAGTAATTCCATTACAACTAGGCCCTAGTTATTGCCAAGTAACTTCAGTTGGTGCACTTGTGGTGGTTGTGGCATGAACCTCTGCTAAAGAAACAGCCATAGCCATCATCATCTGCTCCTCAAAACTCTCTGGAGCAATCACCAGAGGAGGAGGTGGAGGAAGAGGAAAGTTGTGGAAGCTCTCACCGCCGTTCATGTAAGAACTTACATAGCTGTTGCTCCCTGTTTCTCCCATCTCGGTGTTGTCATGGTAATGATTATGCTGATGCTGCTGATGATGATGATGGTGGTGGTCAATGTCATCTGTCTCTTGTTCTATGTTGTAGTAACTGTCGCAATTGCCAGGAAGCATACTGTATGAAGAAACGTTGATGTTGTGATTGTGATTGGAGGATTCTCCAACCATGTGCTGGCGTTCAGCAAATGCAGCCATTGCACAAGGAAGCCCACCAGATGATGATGAAGACGGCGTTGCTTGTTCTACAACCGGAGCCACCGAAGAAACATAACTATGATCTTCTTCTGATATATATTGCCTAAAAGGTGTCACTTCCCCACCACTTGAATTTCTTTGAATCCCTGTTTCCTGTATAGACAGATAAGTGGGCAAAAAAAAAGACATGAGAATTGTAAAAATTATGTCATTTAGAGGTTGGAGAACAGAAAATGGTACCTGCATGGAGAGCCATATTGCTTCCATGACCATTAACTCTTCAAGGTCAGCTTCAACCTCATCATCCCTGAAGAGTTTCCATACAAAATCACATAATTGTATGTCATTTAGCTAATGCAAGCCAGAAGGAAGATGTCTGAAAATGAGAATTAAGTTGTATTTGCAGACATAACAAACTTTAACCTCACAACTTTCACTTGTAACATAAATCACAAAGGTACTCACTTCATTCTTAAGTGAAACTGTGTTCAAAGCACTTATTTAGTTCCCCAAAACAAAGACCAAGTCTAATAACACTCATGCTTAACAACTAATACATTACTCTATAAAAGAACTTGACAAAGACAAAACACAGAGAAGCCAGTAGAAAGACAGACCTGTTTCCTCCAGGTTGGGAACGCTGCCTAGCAACAGCAACGTTCTGTGATGAAGCAGTTTCCACGTCTTCTATGGTATCATTATAAGATATAGCTGCAAAACGAAGACACACAAAATGAAGCTTGTCAAAAACCATTTGTTTCTTATTAATAGATTTAACACTGTTCTGTAAAAGCCAACCTGAAGCTGAACCGTATTCCATTTCACCAGTCATAACGCTTGTGCTAGATGAACATGATTCCATACGTTTCTGCATTTTCTCTTCATCATCCTGCATTTCTTTCTGCCTCATCCTTATTTTCGCTTCTATTACCCGTTGCTCTTCCTACATAATAATACAACACATGTGAACAAAGCCATTTTTTTAATCAAAGCAACGTAACTAATGAGTAATGAATGATTGTTTATATCTTACCACTTGTTCCATGCCCTTTTCCTCCTTGGTCTTTACTCCACGGTACTCAACAGCATAGTTGGGTGTTTTACAAAAAGGGCACCTCATAATGTTAAGGAGCACATACAGTAGAATACCCATTCATCCAAACTAATAATAAAAGACAAGTCCCTACACACAAGATTAAATTCTAAGGATACTGAGTAGGCCGAGCTGAATTAGGATTCTTCATTTGCAAAAAACACTCTGCATCAAAATCAAAACAACTTGCCATGTTAAATCGCCAATTAAACATGAATAGTATAAAGAATCTAACAAAAGCTGTGATGAAATGTTCACCTGTACAAATGCTTTTCATGCAACATCTTGATCTATTGAGGCTAGGATAGAACTAAAAGCACAAGAACAAACATCACTGAGTTAGATCCACATAAATGCAGCATTGTTAAGAGACTGAATAAAAATTCACAAACCAGGAAGCAAATGGGACATTCTTCAAGATCATGGCAGCTTTCATCGTCTCCAGGATAGCAAGGAGCAAGCTTAGACTCTATAATTAGTTTCCTAAGCTTCTTGATGTCGACATCTGTGTTCTCATACAAGCCTTGTGGCTTTGTATACCTTTCTTCAACTACTTGCCTCTTCCTCCCCACCAGCTTATTACCCATCTTTAACAAAGTTCCAATCTTTTTTAACACTCTTCTCCTACTAACCTCCTTAAGAGCAGAGATTATGTCACTAAAAACAGTTCCTTTCTAATAAATCACAAATGGAGACTATAAATCACAAACAGTTCCTTTCCTTACATGCTTCACCATAAAGCAAGATTCTTTATTTAACCCTGCACAAATGTAAATCCAATTTCAGCACACAATTTGGACAAAACCCTAATTTCTGCAAACCATTTTACATGAATTAGCATAAAAATATAAGCCCAAAATTTGGATTTTTTTTTTACTAATTTTCACTTAATTACATGAATTTAAACAGAGGAGAACTAAATAAAAAAAAGGAGTAGAAACCCTAATAAATCTGTAAAAGCATAACCTGGAAACTTCGAGGAACAAAATCTAAGAGTGCAGAAGAGAACAAGAGATGAGATCGATAAGAGACACGATCAGAACTTTACTCTGTGGAAGAGAAGAGAAGCAAAGATAAAGTGTTTTGTGTGTTCGTGTCTGTTTCTTATTACATAAACTCGGAAGAGAGAAGAAGAGATAAAACATTCAACCTGAAAATTTGTACTTTCTTGTTTTTTTTCTCTCTTCCTCGATTCTATTTTGACGGAGTTTTAAAAATTTATTTTGACGGAAAATCTCAAGAGAGAGAGAGAGAGAAGCAAAAGGGAACAGAGAACGATGGAGTAAGAGACGATGCAAAGAATCCCTCTGTTTCTTTACCTATACGCGCTTTACTTCTTCGCGCGTAGCGCTCAGTTTCTTTGAAACGACGTCGTGGAGTTTAGTTTTGGGGTTTGTTGACCGGGAAAAGATTAGAATATACGAAATCTTTTGAAGGCGGTTTTGTCTTAAGCACCGAGTTCGGTCTGAATAATCTTTGTCCGTTTTATCCGTTTTCTTAATTGTACGTTTGTTGTCGCATTGTCGTCATTAAAATCTAATTATTCCTAATTTACTTTCAAATTTAATAATCGAAGGAAAAATAAAGTTAGTAGTATTATTTGTACGAGGATTTACTTTTTTTTGTTTGCCCTCAATTTATTGTTCAAAGTTTGGTGATGTTTTAAATTAGACTAGTTGCATATTCCCCGCGCAAGCGCGGGGCCGGGATCATTATGTTTGCGTGTATTTTTTTCGATTGTTGGTTTAGTGGATTCTTCTAATGACACCAATTAATAATGAAATGGAAAATTTCATGTTTTTATATTGTATGTCAAAACTTGATATAATTCTATATTTATAGTATTTATATTTGTATTAAACGATTTATCAATATGAAAATAACCTTAATTAAGTTAATATTCGTTGTTTAAGTTTCATTAGATAGGTTTTTATATATGGTTTTTTGTAAGTTTCGGTTTTGTTCATAAATGATGTGGCATTTTTATCTACGGAGTCATCGACTGT